TAAAAGGAAACTAATATATGGGTCATCTAACATAGTATTGTTCATATTTTATTAGGTTAGACCTAATAGGCACACCAAGGTTTGCCTACGTCATTTGGTGGAAACTAATGTATGGGTCATCTAACCAAAAACAGAATGAGTCATCGTAACCTATAAGAACACTTGATGTCATCCAGGTTTGGCCTTGCTCCACTAATGAGGCCAATAAAAGACAATCCAACAAAGAGCAACCTCAATCAAATTGGTCAGTTAACTTGGTAATCACAGAGTTACAAGTATGATCTTCAATCTTATTTCAGAATCAAGCACTTAATAATCACTATGTGAAAACCCAGCACACTCCTCGAACATGCACAAACATTTGCTATTTAATTTGTTTTCCTTTTGGCTTAAAATTGAAAGACACCATAACAGATCGAGGAGTTGATGATACCCCAATAAAAGCAGAAAATACCTAAGTTCAGAAGTTGAAGCGTACACAATTGAATGTTTGGTCTACAATTGCTTAGACTACTAAATTGTATCCCAAAAAGAAGAGAGAGAAGCTCGAAATGCTTGATCGTTACTACCATACCGTTATGGACTTACAAAAATAACAGATAAAACAGATGGTTTATTAAACACGACACGGTATATAAAGGTGATATATATTGTATTTAGCCATTTACATGCATGCATGGATCACAAACATGGAGATGATGATGAGAGAACCCTAGAAATGTATGTCTTCATTCACTACTGGAAATTATTGAATTTCCGACTATCTGAAAGTGAAATCAAGTTGAAAGCAAAAAGTGGTCGGAAATAGCAATAAGGGTTTTTCTGGATACCAAAAGTGGTCGGAACAAGGCTTTCAAACTTGATTTAAGATAACTTTCAGTGATCGGAAATTTCAAAATTTCCAGTAGTGATTGGCTATATAATCTAGTTTTGCATGTCAAAAAATATACAGAGAAAATATGATTGAAGATCCAAGAAGAAGAAAGATGGGAAGTATAGCGGATAAGTGGGAGGTGCTAAGCGGCAGCACAAACTGGGAGGGCCTATTAAACCCTCTACACATTGATCTCCGTAAGTACTTAATTCACTACGGGGAGATGACCCAAGCAACCCGCGACGCCTTCAACGCCGAGCCGGCCTCCAAGTTCGCCGGCAACTGCCGCTTCTCGGAGGCCAATCTGTTTGCCAAGGTGGGACTACAAAAGGGCAACCCCTACAAGTACGAGGTTACTAAGTACTTCTATGCCACATCCTCGTACGCCCTCCCTGACGTTTTCATCGTAAAGTCCACTCCGAATGATGCGTGGGGCAGGGAATCCAATTGGATGGGGTACGTGGCGGTGGCCACCGACGAGGGTAAGGCGGCGCTCGGAAGGAGAGATATAATTGTTTGTTGGAGAGGCACAGTCCGACCGTCGGAGTGGGTTAATGATTTCGAATTCTCGTTGGTACCTGCGACGAAGATCTTTGGTAATGGTGCTAATAATATTCCTCAAGTTCATAGAGGGTTTTACTTCATTTACACTTCTGAGAATCCCAACTCCGCTTTTAATGCTACTAGCGCAAGAGATCAAGTATGTTTTCTTCTATCCTATGTGATTAATTATAACATTTTTTTCCCACTATTTAATCGATGCATCCATTGTTGGACCAACATTTTATTACTTCTTTGTTTTAATAAAAAAAAAGTGTCAAATAAGTCCTTAAATTCATTGTTTTTGTGTAAATGAGTTACTGAACAAAAAAGTGTGCAGTAGAACCATCAAACAAGCAAAATATGTGTATTTGAGACATTTTTCAGGTTTATTTTAATATTTGAGTGGAAAACATTTAAATCTTTCATCCCAACTCGTATGCATGGTAGAGAAAATGAAGACTCTTAGTATATAGCATGTAAGGAATATGATCAAATTCTATTTGAAAAAATGTCCAAATTGTACATATTTAGTTTGTTGGATGATTAAATTGCACACTTTTTAAAGTTAAGTGACTCAATTGCACATAAGCAGTGAATTTAATGACCTATTTGACATTTTTTCGTTCTAATAAAGAAAAGGTATAGTTAGAGGTCCTAATTTTATACTTCAAATTTCTACATGCATTAGATTTTGAGTGAAATGAAAAGATTGGTGGAGCTATACAAGGACGAGGAAGTGAGCATAACGGTTTGCGGACACAGCCTAGGAGCAGCACTTGCAACCTTAAACGCAATCGACATAGTCACCAACGGAATCAACACAACAAGCGACGGAAAAGCATTTCCGGTTACCGGTTTTATATACGCAAGCCCAAAAACCGGCGACCGCAACTTCAAGAACGCTTACAACGCCGCCACTCCGAACCTCCACCTCTTGCGTGTCCGCAATGAACCAGACATTATCGCAGATGTTCCTCCTGCGACTCCGTTCGGCGGCTACAGAGATGTTGGGGTTGAACTGAGGATCAATGTAACTAAATCTGGTTACGTTAAACCAGTGTCGGGTGTTTGGAATTGGCATAATTTAGAAGGATACTTGCATGGGATTGCTGGAACGAAAGGGGTTGGAGTTCTTGATGGGTTTGAGCTGGTAGTGGATCGCGATATCTCGCTGGTTAACAAGTCACAAGATTATTTGAAGCAGGAATATTGTGTTCCTGGGAATTGGTGGATTGAGAAGAATAGGGGAATGGTTCAGAAGGATGATGGATCTTGGGAATTGATGGATATTGAAGAGGATTATATTCCACTGCCGCCATAACTGTTTCAAACCCTGTGCTGATTTCATCTTTCTGTGTGTTATGTCCAATAAATTGTGTGTCTCCTTCCCATTATATTCCGGGGATTTTTTGTCCCTATTTCTCGAAAAAATTTCTGTCCCTATTCCATTGTGACGAGGACCTAATTTCCTCATCGGATTCGACTGTTTTGATTGAATTAAAATCTCTAGTTTATGTAAAATTTAATCCTTTAGCATATAAGGCATTTAATTTCCTTAGATTACAAGCTCTATATATCAATCAACTTCAATTTAACTTTGCCCTCATTTAGTTTGTGCCCACCGGTTGTAAAGGTTTCTCTAATTTGATTCTTCTATCCGCATACTAAAGATTGTAATTAATTTCATCTATTACTCTTCCTCATTCAGTTGGGGGATTGCATTGAATTTTTAAACCAAGTCAAAATATAAATAAATAAAACATTTGGGCCTTTACTGCTTGAAACAATGCTTTGAGAAATTGGGCCTATGCTCCGGGGAAGCTGAGTGAAAAGGCCCAAATAAATGTTATACTATTTTGTTTTGGACTTGTACACAATAATGAGTGAATTGGCAAATTATATTGTGGATTATGAATAAATGTTCATTTTTAATATATTAAAAATTTATTTTTATATAATATACCAAATAATGAATCTTCATACACAAAAAGAAAATGAATATTTGCGCATGTGGTCAAAGCCACTACGGGGCTGGTGGAAACTCAATGTGGACGGTTGCTACAAACCGACGAGGCATCTGGCAGGATGTGGGGGAGTAATCTGTGACCAACTAGGAAGCTGGATACAAGGTTTTACGCATAATATACGATCTTGCTTGGTGGATGAGACCGAAGCTTGGGCTATCTTGGTGGGGCTGAAGGTGGTGGCAAACCTTGGAGCCACACGTCTTGTGGTAGAAAGTGACTCCCTACGAACGATCAACCGGGTCAAGGCATGCCTTTTCACTGGGAAAGGCACCAACATTGAGCAGCTCTGTGCCCGGGAGGCACGTGATCTACTAGAAGTGGAGTTTGCGCATGTTTTGCGGGAACGTAACAGGGTGGCGGATAAGCTTGCGACGGCCGCGCTAGCCCATGGACTAGGGACGCAAATCCTTGAGAATCAACCGCGCTACGTGGAGGACCTGCTTTGGGACGACAGAGTCGGGGCCAGGTTCAGACGCGGGACGACTTGAGTTTTCTTTTCTTTATCTTCCGGGCTTTGTCCCTCTTTTTGTTCCAAAAAAAAAAAAAGAAAATTAATATTTAATATACTAAAAATGAATATTATATTAGTGATTTCCAGGTTATAAGATGGACCATGGCTCACGATATAATGATTGCACAACGGCAAATTGAATGCACATACTATGTTAACTATAGACATATAATAAGTTAGTTGCAGATACTACTACATAATATCTAGTTAACATAGTATGTGCTTGTAGTTGACATATTATGTGTCTGCAGTTAAGTACTTAACAAATTATGAGCGTTCAATTTATAGACCATATGTTAAATGGAGATACAATTTTTGGACCAAAGTCCACAATGCAAGATGGATCCTGATCCATGGTATAACAATCGCAAATTATGTTGTGCAACCGTGTGCACCATGTATGGTGCACATGGTTGCAAAAACGACATTGTTTTGACTAAACACGCTCGTTCCACTTAAAAAAAAAAAAAAAAAATCAGGTTCGATTCCCGGCAATAGCATTTTTTTTTTGCATAATTTGAATTATATATCCACAAATTCATAACTATATATCCACAGTGAATGAATAACACAAAATCCAGAATGGATGAACTAAATATCCATAATGAATTAACTAAATATCCACAATGAATGAACTAAACATCCACAATGAATGAATTAAATATTCATAAATTCATAACTATATATCCATAAATTCATAACTATATATCCACAATAATGCTCTTGAGGGGAATCGAAACTGAATTTTTTTTTAAAAAAAAAAATGGGACGCGCGTTTTTAGTCAAAACGACATCGTTTTGCAACCGTGTGCACCGGTTGCACAACATAACTATTGGTATAACAACTGTGACAGAACTATATGTTTATTTGGACCTTACTTTTAACTACAACAATGTAGGCAATTCATGGCCATATCTTTGCAACCTTGTATTCTCAAATTGTTTGTACCAGCAGCTCACCATTATTGCATATTTGCAGATCAAGCTGGCATCAGTTAAATTAGGTTTAATGTACAAGCAGAGGGTAGTTGTCACTTGTCAATGCTGGTCCCAAACAAAAACACATTACATTCACTCATTCCAGACTATGTAAACTCAACTACTCCCTAGCTACTTTCTTACTATATAAAACAATTCTGAACAGTTTCAAGACATTGTTGTCTCTCATATATACATATGAGATTGATTATTAAACTTAACAAAAACAATTGTGTATACCTAATTCACTGATTGTACAAACAGATGAGACAAGAAAATTAAAACAATTATTTGAAGATACAGTTGGTTCTTACGACATGAATGCTGCACACAGAAGTAGATTCCAACTACTTAGACCACGATGACGGCCAACAGGGATGTGGCGAAGCCCGGTATTTGCGCCGCTTGGAGCCGGCGGCGGTGACCTTCAGAACCTCCAGAAATGTACAGTTAATGACACTATTAGAGTGAAACAACGTAAATCACAATTAAGATGATACGAGGTTAATTGGTCTTCATTATCCTCACATAGTGACAGAAGCATAAAGCAGGTGGTTCCAGGTATCTGGGAGGCCAGGAAGGCACCAGTGGCTGCAATCCACGTCAGAGCTGTCGCGGCCGCCGCCGTACATAGATGGGTGGGCGTCTTTTCTCAGCTGAGACAGAAACGTTATATCCAACAGAGTAACCGGTTTCGCAATCCTACTTAGGACTTTGTTCACCACCACCGCCGCTTCCGGTGGCCCTGCCGGATACTTGGCACCTTCCAGCGGTAGTTGCTCGCCGTTGCAGTTCTTGCGAAACGATGATTTCCATTCATTTCCCCTGTTTAAGTATTTATGCATGTTAAATTCATAGAAACCAGAAACTTTGAAAATTAATTAAATTTTGTGTTTGTTCTTCATATGCTTACATGTAATGAGTGGGGGATATTCCTTGGAAGAAGACTTTAGTCTTTGAAGGGTCAACGTTGTGGTCCACCCATCTTGCCCAAGTTGTTAAGCCTTTGTAGTACGCTAGTAGCCGGTCTATATCCTTGCTTACCTTAGGACCATCTTGTACATAGTCCCATCTACCAAGGTAAAAGGAAATAAATAATGGATATATTATGGAGTTGGTGATAAAATAATTTGCTAATTTCTTGATTAAAAATAAATGCATAATAATTTTTATAGAGCTAATAGTATCATATTAGAAAGACCACGTGTAATAAGTAAGAGCTGAGAACCCCTTTTAAGGGTGTATTGAGTGAGAACACGATATATTAAGGTGTATATAAGTATTTACGAAGTTAAAAATTTGAACTAGAAAGGCAAGGAAAGAAGCATACGGTTGAGATCTTCCTTTGTGGGTCCACCAATGCCAAGAGTTGAAGATCAACACATCCATTCCTAACCATGCTTTACCTAATTTTTTTTTCCAAGTAAAACGAAATTCATTAGTTCATCAAATTTGAGAAAAGTACATCAGAAAAAGAAAGAAAATGAATGAAAAGTCATTCGGTATGATCAAACAAAGAAATAGTTTCCCTAACTATAAGGTCGGTAGTGCTGCCTTACCTTGTTGTATGGAATCCAATTTCAGTACCCTTCCCATCTTTTCCTTTACTATATCTACCAAGTATGTGGTGTGATAAAGATATAAAGTTACTCCATACTCCTGCAAGATGAAAAGATGAAATTAAAGAGGGCATCAAACCCCCACAAGAACGAATATTGTTCAAACTTTATGATTGTGGCCCCAAATTATTGAAGCAATATTCGAAACTTCACCTCATCATGTTCTTGAATATTAAATTAGTCACCGTACCCTTAAATGTCTCATAAATGCTGTTGGGTTGACAGCCACTTGTGTTAGATGCTTTTAGGAAATGGTAGTTATATAATTCAGTTACTAGAGCTTTTGCCACAACTGGCTTGGCACGCATGATCCCTGCCTACCCATCAAAATGTCCCTACATAACTTCTCAAGTCCAAAACTATCTGCCAAGGACCTAGTGGTCTAGTGACACCCAGTTACTCTCTCATATAAGAGCTGAGGTTGTGGGTTTAAGTTTCAATGGAGGCGAAATTGACATTTTGTATTTCAGTAGATTGAGAAAGTAGTTATGAACAGATACAAATTGTAGTTTAGAACTGGAACCAACGGTTTCAATTCCTATAATTTGCAAATAGAAACCAAAACTTTTGTACAATTATATGATTCTAGTTTGATTTAACAGTTCACGATTCAGTTCGAATCGAACCGTGTACCATCATCATTTACTCATGAAGTGCACGCAGGAGAAGGGAAAAGTAATGACCACACAAGGTGGGAGAAGAAGACAAAGGAGCAAGACATTTACATAGAAACAGAATAATAAAATAACAGTAGACATGCCTGACTGGGTAAGTAGCTAAAGGGGAAAAGTAATAAATAAAAAAGACAGAATAGGGGGCTGACCTTAAAGGTAACATATGAGAGCGTTTCCTGTCTTGAATAGGTTATCTTGGAGGTTGGCACCGACGCATGAATCATGCAAGCCAGCGAGTTCCACATGTTCAGACTCAGTGAGTCACCCACAAACATAACCTTCTTCCCCCTCCATCTCTTCAACAGCTCCCCACCATCAAACCTGTATACTTTCCCACTCCAAATCAAAACTAAACCAAGAATTTCAAAACTAAACAATAATAATACATTTTTACTTTTGTCTAAAAAAGTAAATTTCTCTAAAAAATTTAAGTCTTTAAACATGAGATCAAGAGTTTGAACTCATACTTGAGCAATAATACCATTGAAAGAGCTCTGTACTATGGAGTATGAAAAGAAAAGAAAAAACAGGAGTAATTCCAGCCAAATTGATTAGACTGTTGCTTCTAGTGGAAGCTACCTAGTGACCTTAATTTGAGTCTGTCAATTATATATATGTAACATAGGCTTTATTGAGGTCTTTTACCGGCTAGAGTCACCATTTACCAATGCACACTATTAAGATAAAGTGCTGGACTTCTCCGGTCTCCGCCTAATAATCTTACATACAAGTCTACCCGTAGCCTAATTTTTATACCACTTGTTAGGATAAAACGCTTATCACTACGCCAAAAGCTATAATTCGCAACAAATGCTCAACTTTATTTTCTTATACAGCCACATTTTTTAGAGGTAAGGTGCTGGACTTAGTCCTTCACCCGTCTCTGCCCAACACACGCCCCTCAAGGTAGTAACTGTTGTAGGTTTCTCTCGTCACTCTGAAAAGAAAAAAGAAAAGAAACAGGGGAGGGAGATGAGAGGATTGTTGAAGTACCTGGGCAAGTCACAGGAGTCAGGCTTCCAAGCATACTTGAGGTACTGTTTATCCGGGCGGCCATATTTGATGCAGTCGAATTCTGGGTCAATGAAAGGGCAGTTGGAAGGTTGATAGAGAGGATACGAGGAATCAACCACCCATCTGCCACGGAAGAGGTTGCAGCCACCAGAAGAGACTATCTCTTTGCCTCCCCAACTCAAAAGATGGCTGACATTATTCTGGGCAGCTCTCCCACCATGGCCCTGCACTAACAGAAGAACAGCAATGATTACAACTCCACTCCACATGACTTTCTGCCCAACACCCATCTTTGGATTTTGCCCAGATTATTCAAGATTATAAAGAGGACAGCACTTGCCTTGGAATTTTATCCTTCATATATATATATATATATACACACACAATCCCAACCCAATAAGAAAGCTCTTTCTTCTTTTTCTCTTTTCTTCTTCTTTTATTTATTTTTTTCCTTTTATAATTATATTTTTTGCCTGTTGTTCCTTTTCTTCTTGGCCAGGTTTGCCTTTCTGCCTTGATCTTTTACTTTGATTGGTTAAAGTAAGTGGGGAAGTGGTATATGTTTCACATGGGAAATGCTAGTAAGAATGCCCCTTTTTGGCGTCTGACATGAGGTGTAAAGCTTGGATGTATTCGATGAATCTTGGAATATTACTGCATATAACTATTGCATTAGCCCACTGTATTCTAACTAAATCAATTTTGATCAAAGATTTGATCTTTAAAAAAAAAAATCAAGGGCCACAAAGGCTAGACGATGAGGAGTTATTGTTTTCAAACTTCACATTTGTGACCAACTAAGGAGTCATTATTCTCAAAATTTATCTCTCTGATCAACTGAGTTGTCTGTCCATGCAGGCAAAATATATATATTTATATTTCTATAATTGATGATGAAGTACAAAACAATAAATATATGTGTATGTCATTTAATTAGATAGGACCATCATGCATATTTTAACAGGCTGGATTGCCACTTAAATTATAGAGCAGGAGAAACTAATGACCTCTTTAATAATACAAAATGATTTCCCACATATTTCATTTTTTATTCTTCAATTTCTGCATAATTTTTGTTTTTGTATTTAATTTACTAGAAACATTATTATTCCTAGTTAGAAAATGGTGTGCTAAAGTTGTGTTTAATTATGAGGGGAATAACTAGTTCATCTATCCAAGCCGTAATGGTTGATACATACAGCCATTTCAGGGTCTTTATAAAAAAGTGATTGCGAAAAGAAAAAAAGTTGGTCCTTTTTACAACTGTCAACTTTTTAATCACGCCAATTCACTAAGGCAAACTTTTCAAAACGTTAATTACATAGAAGACTTTATATATTTTAACATGATTCTTGTACTTAAATGTTATAAGTTTAAATCTTGACAACATTTTATTAGTTGAACTCGTCACACATAATTTTTTATTATAATTTATCTTTCATGATTTGTGAGTTATTATTAAAAGACAGTTTATCAATGCGATTACAGATTTCTCTCATTAAAAAAAAAAAAAAAAAGATAAAAGACTTTATATTATGCCAATATTGAGAGTCATCATTATACTGGTAGCTATTGGAAGGCTGGAAACATCTAAGACACTACCCCCCCCCCCCCCCCCCCCCCACCACACCGTTGAAAGCTCCCCTTGCTGTGGCATGCATTTGATAAAGTGAAGACTGAAGAGGATATATAATAATGTAATGCGGAATTTCTGCAGTGTAAATTAATACTATTTGTGTTTTATTATATCATATATAATTATGTATGCTATTTAGATTATATTGAGTGTGTTGAAACTTGTATTTATAGTATCTTGTGTAATTATGTACTTCTTATATCTTTTATGATTGTTTTTATACAAAAAATTACTTATGCATATCTACAACTTAAAAAGTGTTATGACGATGATGACAATAATAAGTGAGGAAATATAATTTCTTAAAATAATCTTTGCACTAAATTATGAGTAGTTCATTACGTTTATTTTTAAGTAACTAAATTATCACTTCAATATATAAGTTAATAAACTAATTAATGTTTCAAATTGATTCAAGTTGAGCCTCACATATCAATAATAATATAAGAGTTTGTGGTAGAGGTATCAACTCTTTAGGGTTATAAAGTGTTTGAAATGGCATATGGGAATCACTACTTTAACTTTATTTGATTAGATTCTTTGCTAATAAATAGAGGTCGTTATGATGAATAACTAAGATAAGGTAGCAAGAAAAAAGGCATATTCTTCAACCTTTCATTATCCAAAAATGAAGCCTCTTTAAGAAACCTAAAAATCAGACGTAAGAGATGTTTTGGTTTCATTGGCCACAAGTGTATTGCATGGAGAGTGCCAAGCAAGGATTTCGTAACACATAGTATATATTTTGATTTGTCAATGATAGTTGATTTTTATTAAAAAAAAAATTAATACTTTTGTATGAAATATATTAATTTTATCATTTATGAATAATTTATTGAAAATTTCAACAATCAAAAGTAAATTAAAAATGTTATAGACTTTATATATACGAGGTGCAACGAGATATTTCGGTACAACTCTTAAAGTTTTTTTTTAAGTTGTACTTGGTGCAAGGACATTGGTATAAGTCAACACCATAGACTTTCTCATAAATTATTATATGCTATTATTTGGGATTTGTAATCAATTATTGTGTGATCGTATTGAAGAAAAATATTCCATACCATCAATAATTATTTTTGAGATTTTCTACTGATAATATCGAGTATAATTATACATATACTATTATTTTTTTCTGATATATATCATCTATTACAAGTGTTGGTGTTAATAGTATCTTAGAGGAAAAGGTTGTAATGTCTATTAACACGGTACCTTTTGTATCCAGTGCAAAGCCTTAAAACTTTAGAGAGCGTTTAACTATTCACTTGGAAAGTTGGAAAGATGCTAGGTTTAGAGAGTTACCCTGCGGATCGGTAGGTTAGAATTTTTGTATAATTAGATATATACCACAAAAATGTATATTTGATATATTATGAATAAAATATTGATGGGTAGAAAAATGAATTCCATATAGACATATAGTACAATCTGATGTGAGGAGAAGGAGAAGGGCAGTACAGTGGAGTGGGGTATAGAGACAAGTTGTTAAGGGTGGGTCAAAACATTAGCTAGTTGGTCTGAGTGGGTGGCATTGGCCCACTGGAATGGACGTTTAGAAGTAGGAAGCATGTTGAAATTTTGCAACTTGTGATGGTGACCTAATTTGTAAGTTGCTTGTTAAGTTGTCCCTTTTAAGCCAGAAAAGAATTGATGGGAAATCATGTTATAAGTAATAATATCAGCAATATAATGATGTGAACGAAACAAAGAAAACGACCATTAGACAAATGGAACGTGGTATATTAGACATAAGCACCCATCATAATGCAGCTTGCCACTATGCATGTGGCCATCTTTCACTACACGCCATGTATGGACGCCAAAATTGAAAATTAAAGAGTTTATATATATATATATATATATATATATATATATATATATAATTAGGTTTTGGTGCTGTTGTCAGCCCCAGGTGCGGTTGTAGGTTAAATATGAGCCATTGATCTTGCTTAAATCAGGTTCAGGATTACCAAAATTTTTTAAAAAAACGCGGTGGTAATTTGACAATTTTTTCATCTAAGTCAAATTTAAGGTGCGTGAGATTTGTGCTTAAGTGCGTGAATTTTGTGCTTAATGTGAGTACTTGTTAAAACTTAAAGTGCGTGAGTTTTGTGCTTAAGGTGCGTGAGATTTGTGCTTAAAGTGCGTGTGTTTTGTGTTTAATGTGTGTGAGTTTGTGCTTAAGGTGCGTGAGTTTTGTGCTTAATGTGCGTGAGTTTGTGCTTAATGTGAGCCATTTTAAAATCTTAGGTGTGTGGGTTTTGTGCTTAATGTACTTTGTTCTGTGCTTAAGGTGCTTTGTTTGTGTGCTTAAGGTGCGCCATTTTAATGTTTAAAGTACGTCCAACCGCACAACCTCACGGGAAACCACTCCCGCATGCACCTTAACCCTTCCATATATATATATATATATATATATATATATATATATATATATATATATATATATATATATTTGCTTAGAAGTGTTACGTTGTTATATGTCATAAATAGTCAAGTATAACATTTTGTTTCTACATTTATCAATTGATATATAGAGCTTGTTACGAGATCAAAACTGGCAAGTGCTAAGAAATAATTGAACAGAGGCTTGAAAATCTAAAATTTACATCCTATTACCAGTATACATTTGTGTTTTAGACATAATCATAATTATTTGATCTCGATACATTATTACTTGTATTGCAATGTAATGTTAGAATTGAGATTAATAATTGTTGTGTGTATTGATGACTTCTGGTGTACACGATGGATTATATTCATCCATCATTCACTTGATACAATTCTTTTCCCTAAACTATAATAATATTTCATATTTAATTTTCAACTTTTAAATTGACTAAATAAACGTAATCGCTCAACTTTTTTGCATTGAATTGTTTACATTCAATTCAAAAATATCTAAGATGTCCTTACTTCCACCAAACTCCATCCTTTACCATGTGTAGATGCAATCAAATTTGAGAGCAATCTCAACCAAATTGGTCTGATAATTAATTTGATAATCATTAAATTTTAAGTTTGTCTGTCTTTGAGAAGTGTTTATTGGCATTTTTAGTTTGACTAAGAACTATCTATTAATCTTCTTGATTTGAGAAAGTCAATGGCAACCTAACTTGATTTACCTCATTATAATCATTCACCTTAGTTACAAAGCGGGCTTGCCTTCTTAGTTTGAGAAGGTTAGAGGCAACCTTGGTTGGTTTAACTATTTGTGATCCTTCACCCAGATTACAAAGCGGACTTCACCCATTGCACATATTCAACCATTCAGGTCGTAGCTGCAGATTTTTCCATTAATAAAAAAAATGATGAATAAAAAAAGATAAGTCCTTTCAAAAAAAAAAAAGAAAGGTAAGTAAACAAGACTACATCACGGTAAATCTTATTTATGTATTATCCTACAAACCACATAGGAGATTAAGCGGCCATAAAAAATAAAAATAAAAAAATAAAAAAATTATGTTCTACGAGTTAGATGAGAAAAATTTGATAAAAATCAAACTTAAAATCTCACAAAATTTATACTCCAGTCGTTGGACCTCCTCTTACTTAGCAACATATCTTTTAGACATCAAGCAAGGTAATTGATAACATCCAATGTATGATTGTATGTGATGAGTGGTGGTGGCTAAACAACATACGCCGTACTATTTAATATCCACTTTTTATGAAACACGTATATAGCTAGATTTTATGTTTTAATAAAACT